AGAAGAAGAAGAAGAAGAAGAAGAAGAAGAAGAAGAAGAAGAAGAAGAAGAAGGAGGAGGAGGAGGAGGTTTAAAGGGTAGTAAAATTTCAGTAACTGGCAATTTATTTCAATGACTGCCCTATAACTTTTGGGATAATTTGTATATTATTCATATTAAACATTTAAGCTAGCCTCATACAAAACTCTAATACAGATATTAGGTATAAAGCCTGGAGATGCATCTCATACCCAATCCGTATTCAGTTAAAAACCAGGCTTTTGCAGAGGATGCTTTACACTGGTGCAAACTGATTTATTTTATGGGTGTGCAGCAGCACTTGGAGATCCCCCAACAACTGCAAATGCTTGAGGCTAAGCAGAACCAGAAGAAAAACCTATAGTGGTCTAGTAGAAAATCTGCTGTGTGGTCATTCTAGTGAAATCACAAAATGTAATCAGAAGTCTAACTTGTGAAGCTTTTATTCTTCTTTGTTAACCATGCAATAAATACACAGTGTCAGGAACACTATTTCTCATAATAAGTCAGAGAGAGGGCTAAGTGTTAGTCAACTACTTGGTAATATTTGAGTTTTTAATCAATTGCCCTTGCCTGTAGATCTGTGAAAGATCTGAGCTTATGCTTAATACCTTCCTTTTCTTTCTGTAGAAGTACAGTGGCCTGATTTCAGTTGGAACCATTGTGCATATGGGGGAGTTAGTTATTTCCACTATGCCTAGAACTTGTTTTTCAAAAATCCATTGGTGTGAGCAGAGGTAGGTGGGTTTTTTTTGTTTTTTTAAGCATGCCCTCTTTCAAGACAAATACATTTCCCAATCCATTTTCTGCCCTCCTACATAATGAAGGATTCCCTATTTGCCCACAGAATGAACTTGATCCAGACTAGACCACATGTACTTGCTGTAGGGTTAAAAAGCAAAAACTGAGAAACAGAAATGCGCAATGTGTACTAAATATAGTATTTCATTTAACTCTCAGACCTTCTTAAAGTAAATCTTCTCGTGCCTCTGGAAGACTTACCTGTTTTTTAGATTGTTCGCTATATTCTCCAGGTAGATTGTGTGCACTCTTAATTAAAGTCTTTGCAATGTGGTAGTAATAAATGCTAATGATGGTGAGCGGGATAAGAAGGTATACCCAAAGTATCATCACCGAATGAATCTTTGGGTGCAGATCATCCTTCAAGGGATAGCGCACGCATTCTGTGAAGCTGACATTATCTGCATCAGTGATCTGTGCCACTTCAGAGAAAACAGCTTCAGGGACTGCTAGCAGGATGGAAATTACCCATATGGCAATTGCTTTAAAACATGTCCACAGGACTGCGTTGGGTGCTTGGATATCCATTGGATTTACAATTGCCTTGTACCTAGACATGTAGAAAGGGAAAATGAATGTTACTGTTCAGATGGCAGGTTGGTTTTTTTTGTTGTCGAAAGAAGATAAGAATCCCACAATTCTAAGGAAGGTGTTAAGACAGAAAATATACCAGATAGAGTTATCTGACTTCTGTTCAAGAGGCTAAACAGAAATAATGAATTGATTCAGGGAGGGAGGGAGGGA